CAAGGAGTGGCTGATGGGTTTGAACCGCCAGCCGTCTGGTTAGCAGGCAAGTGTCTTAGCCACTATGCTACCAGAGCTCCTCCTATGGAGCATAGCTGCCTTAATACACATGGAGTTGTCATTAATTGGAATTGACTCTATGGCAACTAGAGGGTTTTTTAATTTGGTTGATTGGTTTTTGGTGCCTTGTTACATTACTAATTCTAGCTTGAGCAATGCTTGGCAGACTCTCCAAATCCTAGTTTATTCTAACTTTTCTTATAAGCAGGAGCAGTGTGGTCAGATGGACAGATATACAGGGAATCTGTCCTAGTGGCCCCAACTAAGTTTAGGCTGTTGGAGTACATGAATAACTGGCAAGAAAAGAGGGAAGGATGCAGGCTTTCTTCTAATATTGGTGAAGCCTGGGGCAAGAGAAAAGTGGAAGCTTACATACCACATGTCTAAATATTTAAAATAAAACCAAACCAAACCAAATTCACTGCCCTTGAGTTGAATGCAACTCATAGCAACCCCTCCTTGGGTTTCTGAGGCGGTATCACTACGGAAGTAGATTGCCCAGTCTTCCTTTCGAGGAGTCGCTGGTGGGTTTGAACCACCAGCCATACAGTTAGCAGTCTAATGTCTTAGGCAATATACCACCAGAGCTTGTTCTATCTTCCTATCTTGATAAACATCCCTCCACAATGACCTGGAAGGCCAGATTCAAATTTAGAATTCTTGAGCCCTAGAAATGCTTAGGAGGGAGGATGGTGAGACTTACTTTCTTTGGACACTTCATCAAGAAAAACCAATCACTAGGAAAGGGCATCCTGTTTGGTTAAGTAAAAGGTCAAAGAAAATGAGGGAAAGCTTCCATGAGATGAATTGACATAGTGGCTGCAACAATGGGCTCAAACATATTCATGATTGTGAGGATAGCACAGGACCAGGTAATGTTTTGTTCTGTTACACATAATGTCATCAAGACTTGGAGTTTACTCAAGGGTAACACATAACACCAACAAGAATTTTTCTTGAATATAGTGACTATTGGAGTGTGGCCCCTGTTTTGTCCACTTCTCTTCCCATGCCTGGCCCATCCGACATAGGAAAGGGACTTGAGCTTATGGTCCACTGCATATCTGAGCTCTGACCTTCCCCCCCCACACACACACACACAAAACACAACCCTTCAGGCCTCAAGGCTGCATGACACAGGCCACACAGTCCACCTAGGGAGGGCCAACCCAGAAAAGGTGTGTGGGTCCTGCAAATGGACTCAAGGTTGTTTGGGAAGGGAATTCCCATGTCCCAAGAGCAAGGTCTGAGAACTCAGATCAGGGACTCCAGGTGGGCACCTCCCATTGGCCTCCAGGACTTTTCACCTCATGGGTAGGGACCTCTGTGGAAAAGGACCAGAGCAGGGCCCTCTAGGTATGGTACCCAAGGCAGGAGCCCCTCTTGACTATGTCTAAGGGAAGCACTAGAAATGTGTCATACCCTGTTTTCACCAACACTCATATCCAGGCCACAAAAAGAAACTCTTCATATGTATCTTTTAGCCTATGAATTATAATAGTAATCATTGGTCCCATGTCCCTTTTAGAGCCATGGACAAAAAAAAAAAAAAGGCAAAAATGTCCCAAATACATGCAGAGTTGTTTGCCCTTTGTGTCTCTGAGTTGTCATTAGAGGGTCATCTGAGACTCAGTTGGGTTTCTGTTGTCTTACACTGAAATGACAAAGTTGACCACATGGTCAATCCCAGAATCCAGGCAGAACCTCAGACCGTCCTCTCAACTATTACATGGATTGCTCTGTTTCGGGAGCTATTGGGTACGGCAAAAGGTTTACGTCTTAAGACACCACAGCAACTTCCACTTGTGAATTGGAAATACAGGCTCACTATCCTGCTGTCTCCTTAACAGAGTAGTACTTTTAAAATATTTAACAACTTGAAAAGGAAACCAAGCTTGAGTTTTCCTTTCAAGAGCTAAAGAAACACTAACGTTTCACTTCTGTCTGAAATTCACTATCTCTGCAGACGAAGAAGGCTCTTATGGTAAAAGCAATGGCATTTTCTCCAAAATTTTCAAATAAAAGATAAAAAGAAAACAGCATTGCTGCCTTTTTGTAAGGATCAAATAAAAGAATAATACGGTTTTGCCAGGAGAGAGTTCTGGTTTTAAGCTCAGAATGCAAAAATAGTTACACTGACAAATTCTATAAAGAAATGTTCTCAACTACTGTTCTCTGCCTGGCGGAAAGTGGAGTTTCAAGAAAAGTCTATCATCTGATTATTTGGGGATGTGTTATGATGATGATCAAGCTGATGGAGCCAGTTCTATGTGGAATTCTAATGCACAAAATGTGATTTGACTTTTCTGCTCATGCCAACCTCCCACCCTGTGTGATCCAGTCTCCATCTCTATCCCAACCCAAACATGACCTTTGGAAAAGGAATTGGGGAATCATTTGTACCATGGCTCCCAGGGCCTGGAATACTGTCCCTACACAGTTCAGCCACCCTTTCCTTGGCTAACATTTCCTACAGCTCCTTCCAATCTCTTCTAAGGAACTTTCAGTGATGTTGCCCACCATCTCAGTAATAGCACCTTATACTCCCCCAGCTGTTACATTCATTGTAATTGGTTGATAATTGTTTTATCATCTGTGTTCCTTCCCAGATTATACTTTCTGAGAGCAGAAACCCTGTGTATTTTCTCTAATGTATAAATCTCCATCATTACCCTGTGCTTGGCACATAATATATCTAATTGCATGAATGAATGAATGGGAACTTAAGCCACTATGTTGCTGCTACCAGGGTATTTGAATTAATTGTAATTGGAAAATAAAAGACATTTATCCATCCTAAAGGAGTTATAAACCTGGTGGGAGAGTATTTGTGGTAACAAGGCTCAGTAACCTATTCATTTGAGTTGCCTACCACGATGTATTCAGTTGTTTTTTTTTTTTTTTTTAATGTCAGTGTGAGGTGAGGTAGTGTAATGAATATGGTAAGGACTTGCAAGAAGAAAAGAGTACATAAAACTCAGAAGACTGACTATATATTGCTAAGTATCAACTTCAATGCTAAGTATTAATAATGAATTATATATTATCCACATCTATAGATGAGGAAACTGAGGCTTGGAGACTAAATTTACCTAACTTCATGTAGTAAATAGAGGAATCAGAGAATGAACTCAAATTTCTTGACCTAAGAACACACCATTAATTATAGCATAAAACCATCTCAGCATGGCTCCTGTTGAATGCAACCTATGATGGCCTGGGATACAACAGTAGTCATGGAAACCCTGTAGACTCCTGACCACCCATTGTGCTCCTGATTCGGCTCCTTGTGGTACCTGCCTCTACCCCCTGTGCCATCCACCCCATCTGGGGGTCTCCCACTCACCCTCCTCAGGAAAGAGGAGCTGTCTGAGTTACCCAGGGTTTAGTGCCTGTCCTGGAGGGATCTCACTCCAGACCACAACTGCATCAATCAGGATTAGACTTGAGAGAGTGATAAATGAAAATAATAATAATAATAGAGGTTACACAAGAAAGATGTTCATTTTGTCTGACATAAAAGTCAGGATGTTGAAGTCCAAAAGCTACTCTGGTCACTCAAGTTATCTGGGATCCAGATTCCTTTTTTCTTGTTTTTTTCACACCTTCCATTTCTGAAGTCACTAGGTCACTTGCTGGAGATCCAGCCATCTCTATTTCAGCAAAGAAGGAAATGGAGAAGAAAGGGCAGGCCTCTAACATAGTAATTCAAGGAAATTTTAGTGCCCTTATGTCCCAGCCACCCTCAGCTAAACAATATAGTCTTTATTCAAGATGGCCATATATCTACTAAATATTTTGAGTTCTATTACAAACAAGAAGAACACCTACTGTCTACTGAAACACCTTATTCATGACTACCTTTGCTCAGGTACTCCTTGGGCCATTGTGGCCAGGTGGGGGTAGGAAAGGAATCATGGTAACCCTCTGCAGGGAGCCCTGAGGCCTTTTCCAAGGCTGCTGTACACAGGCATTTATCCTGCCTGGCCTGTGAGGCAAAGAGAAATTTGTTCCCTTGAAGCCACATCATAACAACGGCTGCTCTTAGCTTATTTCTACCATTGTGCTTTTATTGTGCCAGCAATTCAGAGTTCTTGTCACTCAAAGAGAAGCCTCACCCAATGGTTGTGGGATGAGATTGATTTTACCCCCTACAAATCTTCCTCACACAGAGTCACAGCCCAAGCACCACCTTAGGTAGGAGACTCAGGTTCATGATTACACATTGGAAATTATGTATTTCATTAGTTGGTACCCTGACCCCCTTCCCTGTCCCTTACAAGCAGGAAGTATCTGTCCCAACATGCTGTTTGCTCTTTCTGTTACAGGCTCCTGTGGTTGTCTTGTCATGATATTGTTTGCCTCTGAAGTGAAAATCCACCACCTTTCAGAAAAGATTGCAAATTATAAAGAAGGAACTTATGCTTACAAAACGCAGAGTGAAAAATATACCACTTCGTTCTGGGTCATTTTCATTTGCTTTTTTGTTCATTTTCTGAACGGACTCCTAATACGACTTGCTGGATTTCAGTTCCCTTTTGCAAAATCTAAAGACACAGAGACAACTAATGTAGCTGCAGACCTAATGTACTGAAAAGTAATTTTCCGAGTAAGGGAGTAGACTTGCTTTGGTCACTTCTAGATGTGGTTAATTTTTCTCATCTTTTACAGCACACAAACTAAAAGCACCAAAACCCTCCATGACTAACTGGAAAGTAATGGAAGCAGAAGGAAGATTATGGGAACGTTTTCCATGGTGGGAAATTGCTTTACCCAGGTAGTCAAAGGCAGTTGACTAAAATGGACAAATTACTACTCTGTGTATATATATCCAAGTGCAAGATGCCTGTCCCTCAAAGAAGAATCAAAAAGCACATGGAATATATCTTAAAAAAAAAAAAAAGGTACTATTTCTGATAATCCACACATTTGTTGTTGCTGATATCAGAAAACAGAGTCAAGTTGCTTCCCTAAAGTGTTAATGTATTAAAGGAACATCTATAAAATGTATCAACACATTTTTTAAAAAGGTTTTTTAATGCCGAGTCTCATTAACCCTAACTGTTGGTCAGATTTGCAAACCTTTAAAAGAAATAACAAAGGTAAGGATATTTTCCCTCATGTACCAAAGACTCAGCTACACTCACACAATGCTTCCAATGGACTTCATTGCTGGGACCACTGAGGGATCATGAACAATGATTTCTTCTAGTAAATTTAATGCAAATGACTCATTGAGAGGAGTTGTTTCCAGTTAGAGAATCTCAAACACTAATTCCCAATTCCGAAAGTTATATTCAACTCTAGAATTATGATAGTATCATTGTGTCATCTTTGGTCTTTATTCTGGCCATCACAAAGCATGATCCAAGTCAATATATTTTTTTTCTCCTGAATTATCTATCCATGAAATTGATCTGCAACTTATCAAAGGCCACAAATGAGCCTGGAACAGACCCTTCCTCCATCCTCACCTGCTGCCCCCAAGGAAGCACCGAAGAAGAAGCAGAGAATGACAGAGCATGCATCATCAGGCCTCTGGCCACAGATGTTGTGTGCTTAATCATACAAGAGATTAAAAAATGCTTGTTTAAAAAAATACTTTTTGCCTTTTTGAGCAATTTTATAAGAAACAAATGATTGTTTAGATACTTCAGACATAACGGTTGTGGTGGTGATTTGCTGTTCACAAGTTGCCATCAGGACAGCCCTCCGTTTCCAGATGATAGTCCCTTTACTTTAATTCAGGAAATACACCTGGAGAATTTCTGGAAGATCACAAGCTAGTCCAGAGGCGAAGGGGATGTTTGTTTTGGTGATGGGCTGGAGCCCAGTACTGGATTCTGGACATCTTTAGCCTGAAATGCTTAGATGTGGAAGTGCTGGGAACTTGTTGTTGTTGTTGTTGTTGTGTGCCATGAAGTCGGCCCCGACTCATAGCGACCCCTCCTTGGGTTTCCGAGGCAGTATCACTACGAAAGTAGATTGCACAACCTTCCTTCTGAGGAGTGGCTGGTGGGTTTGAACCACCAGCCTACTGGTTAGCAGTCAAGTGCCATAGGCACTATGCTACCAGAGCTCCCTGCTGGGAACTAGGAGTGGACAAGAAAGCACAAGGACCATCATCACCCAGCTGTGGGTAATTGGCCTCAGGTCCTAGAAGGCCAGGTTCCCCACACACTCTTCTTTAAGAGGTTTGAAAAACTTTAACACTGAACTTCTTCTTTAGAAAACAAGTCTCTTGTTGTTCTCTGCTCTGTAAAAAGAGAAAGCAAGTTCTGGGCAGCAGCTGAAAATCTAATGAGGCACTAATAGGCAAACCAATAATATTCCTTCAATGGGAAGTAGAAGCAGGACTGTTACAGATACTTAAATTGTCCCTGTAAATCGTGTCCTACACAAAAATAAAACTAGATACAATCTGAGTACTCAGAGCAGTACACTTAACTATCTCCCTCACTTCTCTCAGATGAAATGCATGGTCACAGTGACCTCATGATGACCCTTGGAGAAAGGATCTTGCCAGAAGGTTCCTTTGTTGCTCACTTTCTCTGTGGGAATCAAAGGCCCAGGCAGAATAGCATGTATTTTGCCCTGTGAGCCCAGTGCCTGGCCTCCCTCCCTGGGTGGCAGCCAGCATTCTCATAAGGACACAGGGCCCCCTGGTGGCTCAGGGGTGGCAAACACAAAGCCATGGTTTGGCACTATTCCACAACCTGAATGCCAAACACTCTCAGCCTCAAAGATATTGAAGTTTTTAATGCCACAGGAAAGAAGAGTCTAAAGCCATCCTAAATCCTTTGGGGTAGATCCTGCGAGGGCAAGACATGTTCTCTGAAATAGAGGAAGCTTCAGAACCAAGTGAAAACAAGTGTAGACAGGGTGGGCTAAAATGAGAAGGAGGATTCCTTACCTTTGTGTGGACCTGACAGTGTACAAACAAAAATCTTTTCCTCTCCAGTCTCTTCGGCTCCTGAGCAACTGCTCTGGCACCCAATTACAGGAGTTCAAGGTGAATCAATTTAGGTGGCGACTCACATATTTACACAGTTCCAAGGCAGTCAGGGCAAGGGACACTGCTGTCTCTCTCCTTTCCCTCTGTTCATTTGTGAAGAGAGAAGTTGGGAGGGGAGTAAAGGGATAAGCTGTTGCCTCCTCCCAACTCTAGTGGAGAGGAAAAGGGGTCCACCAGCTTCTAGGTCTAGGAGCTCTGGTAGCATAGTGGCTAAAGCACTTGACTGCTAACCAGAAGCCTGGCAGTTCAAACCCACCAGCCACTCCTCAGAAGGAAGGTTGGGCAATCCTACTTCCGTAGTGATACTGCCTCAGAAACCCAAGGAGGGGTCGCTATGAGTCGGGGCCGACTCAATGGCACATAACAACAACAACAACAAGCTTCTAGGTAAGCATGGGTTGCCATTACAATGGTTGTTCCTCCCAACCAATTTCCTAGAAAAGCCCAAATAAAAAGCAAGGAGTGCCTGCTGGGCTGGCTGTGTGTGTGTGTATGCGTGTGTGTAGTAGAGGGGGCTAACTTCCTTTAATTTTCCTTAACTTCTCCCCTTCCAATAAGATACAGTTTATATTTAAAGAAACAATGAGTTTATTATAGAAATGTAGCCTCAAGACAAGCCTTGAGCCATTTACCTCATTTTTCTAATTGCCTGGCTGCCCCTGATTCTTTTTATTGAGATATTCTATAACATCTGCTATTTTGTGTCTGATCTTGTGATACGTTCATTCTCAATCCCTTTCAACAGGGCAGGCAGTCACAACTCAGGGATGATAGCTGTTTTGGCAGATGGGCCACATACCCATAGTGACAAGGGACAGAGCAATGCTGGTCAGTTTAGAGAAAAAGGTATCTGCTCTTTGAAACTAAAAGAGAGAAAGACCGGGCAGGCCTGGAGCTCTAGCTTCTGGGCTTACTTTCCCAATGGGAAAAAGACCTCTCTCTTATAAACGCTAATATAAATGAAATTGAATTGTATTTTGATTTACAGACTTTGTGCTTGTCTTAGTTCTCTAGTGCTGCTATAACAGAAATACCACAAATAGATGGTTTGAACAAATAGAAATTTATGCTCCCTCAATTTGTTGTTGTTGTTATTGTTAGGGGCCATGGAGTCAGCTCTGACTCCTAGCAGCCTCATGTACAACAGAACGAGAAACCGCCTTGTCCTGTGCCATCCTCACAATATTTGCTATATTTGAGACCATTGTCAGAGCCACTGTGTCAATCCAGCTCATTGTGGTCTTTCCCTTTTTTGCTGACCCTCTACTTTACCAGGCATGATATCCTTCTCCAGGGATGGGGCCCTTCTGAGACATGACTAAAGTACATGAAACAAAGTCTGGCCATTCTTGCTTCCAAGGAGCATTCCAGATGTACCTCATCCAACATAGATTTATTTGTTCATTCTCTGGCCGTCCGTGATATTTTCAGTATTCTTTGCCAACCCCACAATTCAAAGGTATCAATTCTTCTTTAGTCATCCTTATTCATTGTCCAGCTTTCACATGTATATGCAAAAGAAAAGAAACCCACTGCCATCAGGTCGATTCTGACTCATAGCAACCCCCATTGGTTTTCTGAGGCAGTAAATCTTTACAGAATTAGATTGCCCAGTCTTGCTTCCACAGAGTAGCTGGTGGGTTTCAACCACCAACCTTCTGGTTAGCAGTCAGATGCTTTAGTCACTGTGCTACCAGAGCTCCTGTTGTTGTTGTTGCTTTGTGCTATGGAGTCATTCTTGACTCATAGTGATCCTCCTTGGGTTTCCAAGGCAGCATCACCATGAAAGTAGATTGCCTAACCTTCCTTCTGAGGAGTGGCTGGTGGATTTGAACTGCCAGCCTTCTGGTTAGCAATCAAGCACCTTAGGCACTACGCCACCAGAGCTCCTACACAATTGCAAATACCATGGCTTGAGTCAGGCGCACTTTAGTCTTCAAAGTGACATCTCTTTAACAGTCTAAAGAGGTGTTTTGCAGCAGATTTTCCGAGTGCAATACAATGTCTGATTTCTTGACTGCTGCTTCCTTAGGCATTGATTGTGAATCCAAGTAAAATTAAATCCTTGATAAAAGTTCACTTTTTTTCTCCATTTATTATGATATTACTTATTGGACCAGTTGTGAGGATTTTTGTTTTCTTTATGTTGAAGTGTAATCCATACTGAAGGTTATAGTCTTGTATCTTCAGGAGTAAATGCTTCAGGTCTTCTTCACTTTCAGCAATCAAGGTTTTGTCATCTGCATATCACAGGATGTTAATGAGTCTTCCTCTAATCCTGATGCCAGTTCTTCCTCATATAGTCCAGCTTCTTAGATTGTTTGCTCAGCATACAGATTGAATAAGTACAGTGAAAAGATACAACCCTGACACACACCTTTCCTGATTTTAAACCATTCAGTAACCCCTTGCCCCATTTGAATGACTGCCTCTTGGACTATGTACAGGTTCCTCATGAGCACAATTAAGTGTTCTGGAATTTCCATTCTTCACAATGTGATCCGTAATTTGTTATGATCCACACAGTCAAATGCCTTTGCATAGTCAATAAAACACAGGTAAACATCTTTCTAGTGTCTTTGCTTTCAGTCAATATTCATCTTATATCAGCAATATTTCT